TTCCCAGTCTAGTTATTACAGACAATGTGCATGAGCTTAAAAAGACAAGGGAGATACAAAAAAGGAATCAACTAAGGATTGGGTCAACCAAGACTTTGACAAAACATCAACTGATTAAGCCAAGGGATCAGATGTCAAAGAAGTTCCTGCAAATGACAATGACAACAGTAATGAGAAACAAATAACAGTGTATAAAAATGCAAAAGAAGAAACAAATGCACATGAGGTAAATGATGCAACAATTGACAACTATCAGTCAATAGAGCAGCAATCAGCAGAAGACAATGGTGGTATTGAGAATGATTGTAATAGTGAGGAAGCAAACAACATAAAAGTAATAGTACTCAAAGTCATCAAGTAGTGCATGATACATATGAGGTAGATATTGACAAGGCTGTCATTATGGTTCCAAATCAAACATATGCTATTCAAGTAATATATCTCATTAGGGAATTACATGATATAATGTCTCATAACCTGAGGGGGGGAGGAGTTAATGGTCTTGGAGGAAAATCAGGCTAAAGGTGTCTCAGAAGTTGAATATCGCAACGAGGAAATGAATTGTCTACCACTGGAAGCAGACTCGTCCCCAAAGTTACTGAAAAGCTCAAGAAAAGGGAACAAGAAAGCAAGTGGAGTGGAGAATCAATCTATCAGGGTGAACCCAAAGAGAAATAAATCAAAAATTAAGTTATGAAAGCTCTAATTTGGGACATTAGGTCGGTGAAATCCAAACAAGCTTTCTATAGAGTACAAATGTTGCATAACTTTCATAATTTTCTTTCATTGGTTTACTGGAACCTTTTCAACATACTAGACACATTACTAAATATTGTAGAAGACTTAAGATGCAAGTGGTGAAGGCAAATTGTCATGGCAAAATATGGTGCTTTGTCAATTCAGAGTTTGATATTATCGTGGTCAAGGATCCTGAGCAACAATTGACACTATGCTTGAAACATCAGCAACAAAGTCAAAAATTTCTTGTTACACTACTAAATGTAATGCTGAGGATAGACTAATGCTTTGGGAAGACATATATCATTTATCAGCAGATATGGACAACCCTTGGTTAATAGAATGAAGAAGAAAAAATGGTGGATTACCGGTCCAAGATGTTGATCATGAAGGTTTTGATATTTGTATCCATAGTTGTGAACTAGCACTAATTCAATTCAAAGGAAGTCCATTCGCTTGGTGGAATGGAAGAACTAAAAATGATTGCATTTTTGAGAGATTAGATATAATTTTATCTAATCAACTGATGAAGAATTGGTTCACTCATATGAAGGTTGAACATCTTGCTAGAACAAGATCTGATCATGCTCCTATTTTGCTACACATGGAGGAGGTGTGATTAGACATAGGAAACCTTTTAGGTTTCTGAACTTCTGGACCGAAAATGCTTCTTTTATTGAAGTTGTGAGACAGAATTGGGTGGCTAGTGAAAATCTGAATCCTTTTCTATTGTTCCAGGAAAATATTAGAAAGATTAAAACTGCCTTGAGTAAGTGGAATAAAGAGACCTATGGTGATATTTTTAAGCAATTAGTGATTAGAGAAGATATTATTAAAGTTAAAGAGCAATTGTTTGAGGAGGTTCCTAATGCTGAAAACAGAGTAGTGCTCCAGAATGCTCAAGCAGAACACAAGAAATACTTGCACTTTCAAAAAACCTTTTGAAAACAGAAGGCTTGATTTGACTGGTTTGAGAAAGGGGAAAGAGATACAAGATTTTCTATAGCATTGTGAAAGGTAGAAGAAATAGACTTCAACTTAATAGAATTCAAGATGGTCAAGGTGTACGGTTGGTGGAAGAAAATGACATAGTAGCAAAGGCAGTAGAGTCCTATGCAAATCAATTTCTTCAATAAAGAGATGCTACATCCTTTTCACTATTGAGGCACATTCTATAACACCTCGCTATTTGAAAGAACTAGAAAGATCTAGAATTAGAAATAGTCATTTTTGGAAAGAGTGAAAAATCTGAAAAATTGGTTAAGTTATGTTAAGTTTGAGTTTTTCTCAACTTCAATCGATCATAACTCCTAGCTCAGGATGAGTTAGGTGTGCTACAAGATACCATAGGAAATATCCTTGAATTATCTTTCCAACGGCTCTGAGTTTTCTCAATTTCGAGTTTGTATGAAAGAGATATGTTCATCTGAAGTTGGGATGTCTAGATAAGGAAAGTCAAAACCGAATTTTGGAAGGGTATTTTGGTCTTTTCCATACCCAATTAAGGAAATATCCTTGAATTATCTTTCCAACGGCTCCGAGTTTTCTCAATTTAGAGTTCGTATGAATGAGATATGTCCATTTGAAGTTGGAATGTCTAGATAAGGAAAGTCAAAACCGGATTTTGGAAGGGTATTTTGGTATTTTCCATACCCAATTAATAAATTTCATTTTTAGAAGTTTGATTGGGTTCTAATCAGAATTAGATCAACTTACGCATTTACCAAAACACGCTAGGCTTGGAGAAAGGAGAAAAAAGGAGAAAGGAGAAGAAAAGTTCAAGATTCGTCAAGTTCTTGCAATTTTGGTTGTGGATATCGCCAAGGATTCAATCCTACGAGGTATGTGAGATCACATAACATTGGGTTAGTTCACCCACGCGCCAATCAGGATTCAATTCAGCGTAATTGTGTTCTTGAAAGAAAAGATTATGAGTTCTTGATGAAATTTGTTTAAGTTCTTGTGGGTTCTTGTTGTTGGAGTTGTTGAGAAGTTTCTTGAGTTTGATTCATGAAATTAGGTGTGATTTTGAGTAGATTATTTCATATTTTGGTGATATAGTCGATTCTAAGTGTTTGGAAAAAGAACCAATTAAATTTAGAGGGTTTAGAGTTGAAAAACGAGCAAGAAAATTCGGGGATTTTCTGGGGAGGGGGCTGGGGCTTCGAGCCTTTCAGAAAAGGGAACTCTGAAATTTGGGCTCTGTGGCGCCGCGCCAGCCAGAGCGCCCAACCCACACTCTGAAGTTTCAATGTTGACTCCCCGTGCCACTTAGAGCACCAGGGTCGCCAGGGCTTCTACCTTTTCCCACTTCTTTCTGTTAAGTTCCCTAGCAACGTACCTAAGTTGTTTTAGTTGATTTCCACACTCTAAGGTACGTCTAAACATCATGAAATCATCCATAAGCATGAGATCATGAGCCTTGAATCTATTATTCAATTCAAGGAAAGTTAAGAGTCAAGCCTTGAAACTTAAGTCTCCATGAACCATGTAGCCATCGTGGGTAGAAAGGATCATACTTTTTAGATGACACCTTTGTGCTTTTTAGCATAGACTAGTGGATCCACTTAATTGAGACGTTCTATATCACGACAAGGTATAGGACAGTTCTGGCAGCGTGGGCGAGATGTTGTATCATCATTTTATCTCATAGTGATGGTTGTTGGTTAGAAAAACTCCCACAGTATTATATTAATTTATATGTAAACTGAGTTGTTATTGTATTTCTTTAATACATTGAGTTCTCAGCTACTGTTTTAAATGTTTTGTATAAACTGCCCATTTATTGTTGTTTTACTTTGCATTTGGGTTGAGTATTCATGAGTTGAGTAAAACTAAGGTAAATGTTCTTTTTAGATTCCTTTCAAGCTTATGGCATGTTAGTTTTCTCCTCGCATGCTCGTACATTCAATGTACTGATGCCATTTTGCCTGCATTATTTTATGATGCAAATACAGGTAACCAGGATCAGCATCTAGAGCCTCGTTGATCCAGTTGAGCACTTAGAGTCAATTGGTGAGCCTCCTTGCTTTTGGAGGACCTCTTTTTACTGCTTTATAATTAGTTCATTAGGATGTCGTGGGTCTTGTCCCAATGTCCATTTCAGTGTTAGAGGCTTCATAGACAGTTAGTTAGTTCATTTGTCATTATTTTGTTATTGGTTTATGTTCAGATTTGAGTTGCCACTTCGAATAAGCTAAATGTTTATTTCTAAAACATTATGAGTTTAGTTTGAGACAGTTGAGTTATCTTGCATTTGAATTCCCTTCTTAATGCTTAAAGTCTTCTGCTAAGAGTCTAGTTAGGCCAAGGGTTCGCTTGGGGCCAACAATGGTTCTCGAGTGCCAGTTCCGTCCAATGTGTAGGCTCGGGGAATGACAAACTTGATATAAGAGTCCAGAGTTCAAGAGTCCTAGGGAGTCTATGAAGCCGTGTCTGTAGACTCCTAGTTATCGGTGTGAAGCATGCCACATCTATAATTAGAAGGCTGCAACATTTAGGAACTATCTCACTTCTTTCACATTCATTTCGTGCGATAGATTTAATCTCTATGAAGTTTCCTTCTAACTCGTGCTTGCACGTCTTTCAGATTATGCCTCCACGAAGAGCTGTTAAAGGCCGTCCTGCTAGGCGTAACGTTGAGGAGCAAGGAGTACCTAATGCACCAGAAGTGCAACCCCAAGGAGAGGTTACCAATGTTGAATTTCGGGAAGCAATCTGAATGCTAAGTCAAGCTATGACCAACCAAGTTGGGAAACAAAGAGGGGATCGACAGTAAAAGGCAGATACTTCGAGGATCCGTGACTTCTTGAAGATGAATCCTCAGAGCTTCACTGGTTCAAGCACTACTGAGGATCCAGATTTTTTTTTGAGGAACTGCAAAAAGTTTTTGAGGTTATGCACGTTGCCGATGCTGAACGAGTGGAACTAGCTGCATATCAACTGAAGAGTGCTGCTAGGACTTGGTTTGACCAGTAAAAGAAGGGTAGAGCTGAGGGTGCACCAATTTTGAATTGGGCTATGTTTGAGGAGGCTTTCTTGGGGCGTTTCTTTCCCCGTGAATTGAGAGAAGCCAAGGTACGAAAGTTCCTTACCCTTAAGCAGGATTCACTAAGTGTTCATGAGTATAGTTTGAAGTTCACCCAACTTTCCCTATATGCTCCGGAGATGATTGCGGATATGAGAAGCATGATGAGTCTATTTGTTGCTAGCTATCTCATCTGTCAAGTAAGGAAGGCAATGCAACAATGCTAATAGGGGACATGGACATAGCGAGACTTACGGTTTATGCGCATCAGGTTGAGGAAGAGAAGCTGAGAGATAGAGAAGAATTCAGAAACAAGAAAGGTAAGATCGGGAATGAGTCCGGGCAACAAATGAGTAATGTGAACCGTTCCTCCTTTCAACAAAAGAAAAAGAGACCTACTCAATTATCTGCTAGTGCACCTGCACCCAGAAACAAAGGTGAGTACAATAGTCAGAATTCACAGCACTTCAGAGCTAGACCTGCACAGTCTCAAGGTAGTATGGCACAAAGAGGCAACTGGGCTCCAGGATGTGCTAAGTGTGGTGAGAACCACCTAGGTAAGTGTCGCGATGGCTCCACAGATTGTTTCAAGTGTGGTTAAGAGGGTCACTTCATGAAAAAGTGTCCTAAGAACCGGTAAGGCAATGGGAATCAGGGAAATAGAGCCCAATCTTCATCAGTTGCTCCACCAGACAGAACTGTATCTAGATGAGCTACTTCAGGTACTGGCGTTGGAGCAAACCGCCTATATGCTATCACGAGTCGCCAAGAGCAAGAAAATTTTCCAGATGTCACTGGTATTATTAAAGTCTTTACTCTTAATGTTTATGCTTTGCTAGACCCAGGAGCGAGTTTATCTTTTGTGACTCCTTATGTTGCAATGAAATTTGATGTTCTTCCTGAGAAACTTTGTGAGCCCTTTTGTGTTTCTACGCCTGTTGGGGAATCTATTCTAGCTAAGCGAGTCTATCGTGATTGTACCATTTCCGTCAATCACAAGAGCACCATGGTTGATCATTCTGGGTATGGACTTGCTTCATGCCTGTTATGCCTCCATTAATTGTAGAACTCGAGTTGTCAAGTTCTAGTTTCCAAATGAGCCAGTTATAGAGTGGAGTAGTAATTCAGCAGTGCCTAAGAGTCGTTTCATTTCGTACCTTAAGGCGAGAAAGTTAGTTTCCAAGGGTTGTGTCTATATCTTAGTCCGAGTTAACTCAAGTGTTGAGACACCTTCTATTGAGTCAGTTCCAATTGTGAGTGTATTTCCAAAAGTCTTTCCTGATGATCTACCCGGAGTCCCTCCTGATAGAGCGATAGACTTCAGTATAGATATTCTTCCTAATACTCATTCAATATCTATTCCTCCATATAAAATGGCTCCAGTAGAGTTAAACGAGCTAAAGGAATAGTTGAAAGATCTCCTTGATAAGGGTTTTATTCGACTAAGTGTATCACCTTGGGGAGCTCCGATCTTATTTGTGAGGAAGAAATATGGTTCCCTTAGGATGTGCATAAATTACCGTCAGTTAAACAAAGTTACCATCAAGAATAAGTCTCCTCTTTCGAGAATTGATGATCTTTTCAATCAGCTTCAGGGTGCCACTTGTTTCTCTAAGATAGACCTCAGATCTGGCTACCATCAGTTAAGAGTAAGGGATTGTGGCATTCCAAAGACAACGTTCAGGACCCGTTATAGTCGTTATGAGTTCCTAGTTATGTCCTTTGGGTTGACCAATGTGCTTGCAACATTCATGGATCTTATGAATAGAGTATTCAAGCCTTATTTAGATATGTTTGTTAACGTATTCATTGATGACATACTAATCTATTCATGAAATGAAGAAGATCATGCTAGCCATCTCAGAATAGTTCTCCAAACTCTAAAGGATAAGGAGTTGTATGCTAAGTTCTCGAAATGTGAGTTTTGGCTTGAGTCTGTGGCATTCTTTGGCCACATTCTTTTCGGTGATGAAATTAGAGTTGATACCCAGAAAATAGAGGCAGTGCAGAATTGGCCTAGACCCACATCTCCAACTGATATTAGGATTTTCTTGGGGTTGGTTGGATATTATAGAAGGTTCGTAGAGGGGTCCTCAACTATTTCATCCCTCTAACCAAGTTGACTCATAAAATAGTGAAATTTCAATGGTCTGAAGTTTGTGAGAAAAACTTTCAGGAATTGAAAAATAGGTTGACTAGTGCCCCAATGTTGACCTTACCAGAATGTACACAAGGCTTTGTGGTATATTGTGATGCGTCTAGAGTTAGTTTGGGTTGTGTGTTAATGTAGAATGGCAAAGTTATAGCTTATGCCTCTAGTTGAAAGTTCACAAGAAGAATTGCCAACCCATAACTTAGAATTGGCTGCCGTAGTATTTGCTTTGAAAATATGGCGTCATTATATTTATGGTGTTCATGTGGATGTGTTCACCGATCACAAGAGTCTTCAGTACGTGTTTAGTTAGAAAGAACTTAGTCTCATACAACGAAGGTGGTTAGAATTACTCAAAGATTATGACATGATTATCCTTTATCACCCAGGTAAGACTAATGTTGTTGTTGATGCCTTGAGTAGATTGTCTATGGGTAGTACCGCCCATTTTGAGGAAGTTAAGAAGGAGTTAGCAAAAGATGTGCACATACTTGCATGATTAGGAGTTCAATTAATGGATTCCATAGAAGGAGGAGTGGTGGTGATGAATGGGGCTGAATTATCATTAGTATCTGAAGTTAAGGAAAAGCAAGACCAAGATCCCATTTTGCTTGAATTAAAGGCAAATGTTCATAAGCAAAAAAGTCTTGATTTTTGACTAAGAGAGAGATGGTGTATTGAGGTATCAAGGTAGGTTGTGTGTACCAAGGGTGGATGAGCTCCAAGAGAGGATCATGGAGAAAGCTCAGAGCTCAAGATATTCTATCTATACGGGTTCCACAAATATATATCGCGATTTGAGAGAAGTTTATTGGTGGAGTAGTATGAAGAAGGGCACGCAAAGATTGTTACTAAGTGTCTAAATTGCCAACAAGTTAAGGTAGAGCATCAAAGGCCCGGTGGTATGGCTCAGACTATAGAACTTTCGAAATGGAAGTGGTAGATTATCAATATGGACTTCATCACAGGTTTACCACGGTCTCGCATGCAACATGATTCTATTTGGGTGATTGTTGATAGAATGACGAAATCAACCCACTTTTTACCGGTAAAGACTACCTATACAGCAGAGGACTATGCTAAGTTGTATATTCAAAAGGTGATCAGACTTCATGGGGTTTTGGTATCAATTATTTCAAACAGAGGAGCGTAATTTACTGCACATTTCTGAAAATCTTTTCAGAAAGGCTTGGGTTCAAAAGTGAATTTAAGTACTACTTTCATCCGCAGACAGATGGTCAAACAGAGCGCACTATTCAAACTTTAGAAGATATGTTGAGGGCCTGTGTTATTGATTTCAAGGGGAATTAGGATGATCACCTACCTCTCATTGAGTTTGCTTACAACAATAGTTATCACTCTAGCATCCAGATAGATCCTTATGAAGCTCTTTATGGGAAAAGATGCAGATCTCTTATTAGATGGTTTTAGGTTAGTGAAGCAGGATTGATAGGACCAGACTTAGTTCATCAAGCCATGGAGAAAGTGAAAGTCATTCAAGAGAGGTTGAAAACAACGCAGAGTCGTTAGAAATCCTACACTGATGTTAGGAGAAGGGAATTAGAGTTTGAAGTAGATGATTCGGTATACTTGAAAGTTTCACCCATGAAGGGTGTTATGAGATTTGGTAATAAGGGAAGCTTAGTCCCCGGTATATTGGCCCTTACAGAATATCCAAACGAGTTGGTATTGTTGCTTATGAGTTAGAGCTACCCTAAGAGTTGGCAGCGGTTCATTCAGTATTTCATGTTTCCATGTTGAAGAAGTGCATGAGAGATCCTTCACTTATCATACCTACTGAAGATTTTGGTATCAATGATAGTTTGTCTTATGAGGAGATCCATGTTCAGATTCTAGACTGTTAGGTTCGCAAGATAAAGACCAAGGAAGTAGCATCAATCAAGGTTCTTTGGAGAAACTAGTTTGTTGAGCAAGCCACTTGGAAAACTGAGGAGGATATGAAGAAGAGATATCCACATCTCTTTGAGCCCGGAGAAATTCTAGACCAAGGTACTAATTCTCTTCTTAGTACTCTTTAATTTATATACTTGATGTGTTAGATTTACTTGTTAGGTGTTTGAGTTAAGTGTTATATGTTACACCCTTAGCCTACTAAGAATAATCTCATTCGAGGATGAATGTTCCCAAAGGGGAGATATTGAAACAACTCGCTATTTCAAAGAACTAGAAAGACCTAGAGTTAGAAATAGTCATTTTTGGAAAGAATGAAAAATCTGGAAAATTGGTTAAGTTATGTGAAGTTTGAGTTTTGGGTCAACTTCAAACGACTATAACTCCTAGGTCACGATGATTTAGGTGTGGTACAAGATACCGTAGGAAATATCCTTAAATTATCTTTCCAATGCCACCAAGTTATCTCAATTTCGAGTTCGTATGAATGAGATATGTCCATTCGAAGTTGGGTTGTCTAAATAAGAAAAGTCAAAACCAGATTTTGGAAGGGTATTTTAGTCTTTTCCATACCCAATTAATAAATTTCGTTTTTAGAAGTTTAATTGGGGTCTAATAAAAATTAGATCAGTTTACGCATTTACCAAAACATACTAGGGCGTGGAGAAAAGAGAAAAGAGGAGAAATGAGAAGAAAATTTCAAGATTCGTCAAGTTCTTGCAATTTTGGATGTGGATTTCGTCAAGGATTCAATCCTACGAGGTATGTGAGATCACATAACGTTGGGTTAGTTCACCCACGTGTCAATCATGATTCAATTCAGCGTAATTGTGTTCTTGAAAGAAAGATTATGAGTTCTTGTGAAATTTGTTTAAGTTCTTGTGGGTTCTTGTTGTTGAGAAGTTTCTTGAGTTTGATTCATGAAATTAGGTGTGATTTTGAGTAGATTCCTTCATATTTTGGTGATATAGACGATTCTATGTGTTTGGGAAAAGAACTAATTGAATTTAGAGGGTTAGAGTTGAAAAACAAGCAAGAAAATTCGGAGATTTTCTGGGGAGGGGGTTGGGGTATCGCGCCTCTCAGAGCGCCCAAAAGGGAACTCTGAAATTTGGGCTCTGGGGCGCCGCGCCAGCCAAAGCGCCCAACCCAGACTCTTATGTTTCAAGGCTGGTGCCCCGCACCATTCAGAGCGCCAGGGTCGCCAGGCCTTCTACCTTTTCCCACTTCTTTCCATTTGAGTTCCCTAGCAACATACATAAGTTTTTTTAGTTGATTTCTACACTCTAATGTACATATAAACATCATGAAATCATCTATAAACATGAGATCATAAGCCTTGAATCCATAATTCAATTCAAGGAAAGTTAAGAGTCAAGCCAAGAGAATTTCATAGTCTTCCAAAAGTCTTTTACAAATGTTTTAACTTTGTTTTAAGACTTGAGTTTTGAGTTGAGTAAAGAGTAGGAGTAAACTTCATTTCTTCAAAAGATTAAACGGGAACTAACTATTCCCAAGAGTTGAAATGTTTTCACATTTAAACAAGAAACGAAACACCGATTTCCAAGAGAGCCTTTGAGCTAGTTTTGAGTAATTATCTCAAACCATAGAAAGAGTTTTTGTTTTTTAAAACATATGAGCTAGGTATATTTTGGGAGTAGTATTGAGCACTACTATGAGGACGAGTTCATAGTAACTCAAGTCTCCATAAACCATGTAGCCATCGTGGGTAGA